GGGAGGGAGGGAGAATTTGTAATTCATGGGTGGGATCCAAACCAGATAAGCTCGAAACATGGCCTGGATCCTGATAGCTGCCCTCTCCTCAATCAGCGATGGCTTGTAAACAGCTGTGAGCCTCATCACAGCAGCCGCTGCCTGTGCAGCCGCCATGACGGCATCAGTTGCAGCTGCAGTCGCTGCAGCGACAGCCATTGCATGCTTCTTTTGCTCATCTTCTTCAGATTCTTTCAAATTCTCTGAGCTTTGATTATTACTGGTCTGGAGTGAGGAATTGTTGGTGTTTGGGTCTTTGTTGGTGGATCTTCGAAAGCTCCATCTTCGCTTCTCTTTAGGTGGAACATTTGTGAATGAGTGATTCTCATTTGGTTGTGAAGGCTCTGTCAGTTTCTCCATCTCTTTCTCTCTCTGCTCTGTGGGTTTCTCCTTCTTCTCTTTCTCTCTCTCCTTTCTCCCACCTAGGAAGCTCCTGATCCATTTGCTTGTCTTCCCCATTGGAGCTTGGATTCAAGGCGTGGAGTGAGATGGCTTTGTGATAAAAAGACAGACACTGCAGGTGTGCATCTTTATGCTCTCTCTCTCTCTCTCTCTCTTAATTTTTATGCATGCCCATTTGACCCATTTGTATAACGAAGGTCTTTCAGCACTATTTGTATGGTTAGTGGGGTGTTTTTATGCGTGTATTGGAAGGCCTGCAGAAATGGGGAGGAATTTCCCAAAGAATTATTACTTGGGAGGACAGACAATACTTCGGGCAGGGTGTGGATGACTTTGTTTATGTGGAGACCTAACTTTGTACACATGATATTTTAATCATGTGAAAGAAATGGCTCTAAATTTGTGCTCAATGAGGTGGTCGTTGTCTTCTCTCTCTCCTCTTGGAAAAGAGCAGAAGCTACCATTTTGTGCAAGTCTGAAAATCAGGCAGCTGTTCTCATTTATTAGGTGATAAACATAGAGAGGGAGAGCATGGGTTTCCTTAATAGCTGAAAGCCTGAAATAGAAATTAGAGTGGTTAAGTGAGAAATTAGTGAAAAGAAAGGGTTGGGGACTGGATATTGTGGAAAGTGGGGCAGTTTTGGTTAATTATATGGAAGAAGTCAGAGTGGGGTCTCCTGTGGTGGTTTTTTGGAGGGGCGGCAGTGGCCATGTGAAATGTTGATGGGGGCAGATGTTGGTTTGGAAGGTGACTTCAATCCCATGGATGTGGGGCTCACCTTCTCTTTCTCTCTCTAAAATCTATGCGTCCAAAGCCCCGGATCCAAGGAATTAAACTGGAGACATCCCTTTCATTGTTTTACCTGAATTTCATGGCCACTTCTTAGGAAGACCTCTCGCTCTCTCTCTCTGTTTATTGTTCCTTTTTACCAAAATTTCATGCCTGGTTGCTTGATTTTGATCGCCACTTCAAGGAAAACACTATGTTCTGTGTGTGTTCATCCCAATAATTGAATTTTAGTATGCATGCATCACAAGAGAGAGAGGGCGCGCTTCGTGTATGTATTTAACACGCCAAGTAATGTGTTCCAAGGCCTAATCCAACAAGAGGCATTAGTTGGCAATCACGTGTAATGTTGATTCTTAAGGCCCTTTTGGCTTTCCAATTTGGCCAAGTGCTGGGTGGAGGGAAGCATCCCTTTTAGCCTATCTTCTTTTTTTAATGTTCATTTTTCCACCATCTTGCTAGCTTTTGGCTTTACAATGGCTTTCATAATTTTTAATCAGGAGAGAGAGAGAGAGAGAGATACTTTCAGTGCCAGCCATGGCCCAAACAATCAATTCAATGCATGTCGAGCTGATTAGGCCTTTTTTAGCTTTCTCTATCTACTCAATGATGATCACAAATTTATTTACAATGGTCCGGTTTTCATGCGGCCCCAGCTGCACTAAACCATTCTGCCGCCCTCCTTCCCCTAAAAATCCACCAAAACAGCGGGATCGAGAACCCAATATTTTGAACCTTCAAAATCAATATCCTTGAGAAAGAAAAGGATTTGGAGCTTTTAAAAATGCTCCATCTTGAGTGTTGTTTTTAACATCTAATCAACAATAAACATTTCAATAGCTCCTAAATTGATGAACTTTCCAAGATTTTAAGAGCTCCCAAATTAATAAGGGTAAAAATTGATTTGCATGTCTTGAGGAGGGGACCTCAAATTCTATTGGAACAACTGGGTTTTTCGGGGAGAGGTAAGAAGGCCCACATTTTCGAGGCGCGGCCGAGGTCGTGACACACTTTCTCTATTTACGAACATCGACTATTTTGTGCATATATTAATATTTTCTTTTTCATTGTTCATTAAATATTTAGTATCTTTTAACCAAATAATTATACCGGTCGATTTATTGGTGGATAACTGTCCGAAGCGAGCACCATGTGCACCAGAGTTAAAGAAGAGAGTGAGAGAGAATCTATATTGAGTATCTCATGCGTTGTTCCTTTTTAGCTCCACTACTTACTATATTCCACTTAGCACATGACATAGCTTTCTTTTTATTTATTTTGGTCCGGCCTTCCGCTTACCGCATTTGCTCTCAGGTGACATGGGTTTTGGGAATCTCTCTCAAGTTGGCTCACATTTGTGAAGGGCTCACGAATCTCTCTCGCCTTTTGACAAAACAATGATTAATGGGGATTCTGATTTTAACGTGCTCCTGCAAGAGCACATTGTTTTCTTAGTCTCCCTTACAAAAGGCATGGAAGTATTTTCTTTAGTTAAAATTTTGGGATTCTTTTTTCATCTCATCTTACCTCACAAAAAAGGTCCGAATTTAAAGAAAGAAAATTTGATTTCTTTAAAGCGCTTGTGATCATGTTATTTCTCAAGCACACGTGTATTTTTTATTTTATTTATTACCTTTCCCTATATTTGGGTCCTTACAGTACCCCTAGATAGGGTTCTTTAATGAGAGAATGTATATCCTCGGGACCATATGATCTTCTGATTTCTATTTCTCCTGTTATCTAAAGCAGTTAATAGCTCTTGCTTATCTGTATTACACACTGTAGGTGTGCCCTGTGTAATTTAATAAATAAATGATTAATCAACGAAGTTATTTATTTTTGGTATAGATCGTTATCATAAAACTATTCCCTTTTTGTAGAAAGTGGTCAAAGTTTGTTTAGTTATTGCATAAGAAATTCAATAGTTTGGGGTGCATCGCAAAGTTCTTATATTTGAGCTTCATGCCTAAGAAATGGTATAGCGTAGCCACTTAATTTCATATCAAATGGTCAATAATGATTGCGATCTCCTTTATTAGGAACTGTCTCGGTTTCTCGACAATATCGAGAACAAGCAGTTCCCACTAGAACTGGCCAATTATGTAAGGTAACTGGGCCAACAAGATCACTTCATTCCCACTTTTTTATTTTTTATTACCCGATTCTCTTGGCCAGATCGCCGATTCAGATTGGCTTCTAGGATGGCTAATTCACTAGACAGATCCAAATTTCAAAACAATGTACAATTTTCCATTTGATAGTGGTCCATCTCAAAGAGTGTGATTGTGAGATATTGATGCCATTATACTTGTCTTCCAATGGTAGACATTCTCAAAGTGGAATAACATGGGCTCCAACATGATGTCAGGAATCGGTAAAGTCACGCATCAAACCCGAACCGGGACCACCCTAGCAACAAAATGGATGTCTACATGGGCTAAAAATTAGGCCCTATTTCGATGGACCATTGATTAACAATTTAATATGCCGGACGAATAATTTGTTGAAAATTAATAGTCTACTTACTCCGCTTGGTTTAGGAGTGAAACAAAACAACTTTTTCCGCTTCAATATCCTTGGATACGGGCCTTACTATATTTTTCCCTGCTTATTAAGAAAATGCTGCAAAGCCACTCACAACCCAATAAAAAATATAAAAAAGTCTTTTTCAATCATTTTCAAGTAATTCTATTTTTAATGAAATTTTGGATCCGAAACGGGTTTGAATGGGAATTTAAATTTAACCATCCTTGTGAAATAGGCTGGCAGTGGGCTAGCCTAGGTTGGGCAATCGTCAGCCTGAGCTTGGCCTGACCTAGAATGATTTAAGCCAGACCAAGTCTTTGAGATCGGAGTGGAGGTTGTAGGCAGCCATGATTACCAGCCCTGCACTTCAAAGGCTACCAATAGGCTAGGTTTGGGCCAGGTGGGCTTGGGTCCAGCTTCTTTGCTAAGCTGGAGCCCAACCGATTAAGCTAGTTGAGGCTGGTGCTGACCCAAATAGCCTAATATGTGTGCCCAAACCTAGCCCTAGACCATCCCGACCACCCAATCGCCGCGCCCAGAGGGACAATTAGCAGCCTATATATGGAATGGAGAACATGCCTCATAATATAGTAATTTTTAAAGGAAAAATTATGCAAATAGCTCTTATATTCTTCAAAATTTAAATAACATCTCCAATATTTTATATTCTACATTTAAGTCCGGCATTTTATCTTTTTTCCTATATTTCGAATCCAGCTTAAAGTTTGGGTGATCAAACTTCTTATCATAATGTACCTTTAAAAAATGCAAAAATAAAAACTCTAACTAAATAAATGACCAACATGCCCTAAACTTTGTACATGATATTTGGCAATTTTATTTTTACTCAATTATTATTTTTATAGATTCGTAATATTGAAAAGTATGGGCACACAAAATTTGACAACAATCAGATATATATATATATATATATATATATATAACTGTTAGATATGTTTTAAAAAAATAAAATACAAACGTAAAATACTAATGATATCTATTAAACTTTCGAAAGTATAAGAGATATTTCGTAAATTTCCCTGTAACTTTTAATCCTACAGTTGATACATCTTATCGTTAAGAAACCACGATGCTTTGGGCATTGATTTTTATTATGATTATTTTCCTATCCTGAGTACTAATTCCTCATTAGTTCTCATCATATTAAGATGCCTACGATATTTGTGCATTTTTTACTGTTTATAATTGGATTATTTACTTATCCCAGCTTTCTATATGTATATATGCTATCTCAGCCGTCCTCTAAAATCCACAATTGAGATGGTTCCACTTATAATCATCATCATCGTCAAAGCATTCAAAGCTTTTTTTTTAACTGGGGCCATCTACATGAATCATGGTCCGTCATTCTGCTCTATTGATAGTCATACCCTCCTCAATAAGGCCCCTCAATAAGGCCATAAGTCCTTATATCCTTTCTCATTACTTTCAACCAGGGTTTAAAAACTTGCCAAGTCGAGCCGAGTTTGACTCGGGAATCATCTGCAACTGAGCCAGTTCCACGAAAAAATCGAGAATTGCCCGTGTCCAGAGAGAACCGGGTGATTCCCAATAGTGAATCGTGAACCGGGCGATTCCCGATAGTGAATCGCGAGTCTTACACGTAGCCGCCTCGTGGGAGCAACACGTGGCACCTAAAAATCCTCTACACGTGGTAACTCACCTCACATGTCGCCCCCATCGCTTTTCTACACGCACAATGCAATATCTATTACACAAGAATTTATAGAGAACAAAGCAACGCTCATTTTTCGATGTGGGATAATTCCCACAAAAAATCATTAAAGCAAGACGATTGAATATATATTATTATAGAAGCTAATAAAATCAAATTAGGCTACATGGCGGTGTTGGTTGACAT